TTTATAATGATAATACCAATAATAATAATATTATTATTATTATTATTATTATTATTATCATTATTATTATTATTATTAATATTTATTGTTTGGCCTTACCTTCCGTTGGGGCTTGCTCGAAGCAGAGGCTGACGTGAAAGGAGACCAACATAATGCCAACAAAAGACAGACGAGACTGCATCCTCCGACGTGCGTTTGGTTGAAAGAGACTGACTGGCAGACAAGGGACACTGATGCATCTACAGATTATGGCACAACAGCACAACAACACAATGTCACAGTCTAGAGTCTGTGAGGAGCAAGCGGAGAGCAGCCTTAGTCTCAAGCGATGAGTTGGGCCGGTAAAAAAGCCACAATGTTGATGAACTTTGTCAAGGTTTGGTAGACAAAACGAGTTACTTTTGAGACTATTTATAAAAGCCCGATGGGGGTGCATTATGGGCCAGTGATCCCATCGGGATTCGGTGAATCCGATTGACCAATCGGCTTCTAGTCGGACCATTGGATGTCTTCTCATTGATGGCGAATGGGACAACCAATAGGGCTGACTGTCTCGTCGTCTTGTTGTGCTGTCTTCGTGTTGCCGCATTGTTGTGTTGTCGACTTGTCTTGCTGCCTCGTCAGCCTATCTCGCTGTCCGGTTGCCTTGGCTTCTTGTCTGGTTTCTGGTCTTGGTGTCCTGGAAGCTTGGATTTATCCACGAAAAAACCACCTTCACGACCAACTCCATGTCTTCGTTGTGGCAGGCAAACACTTCTTTGTAATGCTCTGAAATTAACATTTTACTTCCGTCCTTTTGCTTATTCACAATTCGTTCATTTATTAACTTCCTTCACGAATTGGCTCAACGTGATTCGGCAACAGGGATAGGGTGATAAAGCGTGGGTTGGACGTTACGTTTAAACGGAAACATTTTCGAGTAGCTAGTCGAGTAGTATGTAAGGTCTGTGCAGAAAAGGAGGCATATGACAGTAAAAATGAATTTCTTATTTGCCCTAGTTACCATAGGTTGCCGTAGGACATTGAAGTGAATCTTGCCTACATTCAATTTCACATGGCTTTGCATCTCAAAACCTAT